CCCCGACCACAGCCAGATCCGTATCGCTCTGTTTCTCTGGATATCCTCCTAGTCTTTTTCTCAAGAATTTTGCTCAGCTGCCAAACACAAAGCTAATATATGATTATCCGCCATGCGTTTATTTTCGCAGTAGATAATGGCGGTCCAGGGGAAGGGAGCAGTTCGTACCTGGTTAGATTGGTTGAGCCCTGAGCAAGGGGCAGGTGACGCAATCCATCTCTCCGGTGAACAAAACATAGAAAATACCAACCAAACTGCTCCAGAAGAAGGGGTTTTCGTTTTGCGGAAGTTTATTGGGAAGCAGGTTGGGGTCACTAGGCCATTGCTTGTCGTCTTTTCACTGCTACTCCTGTCTGCTGTTCTTTTCCGGGTGTCTAGCAGGTGGAACTCCACCCAATTGAGCACCTCCAGGTTGAACTTGCACATTGAATGGGATCCACAGTTTCTCTATGATAACATCATATGGAGTTACTTGGATGATCTCAACGATGCAGAGGAGCAGATGAATGAAGCCTGGAGTACTTCCGACCAATCTGTGCGGATAGCTTTTCAGAAGCATTTCGCACCGTCGCTCAACGACGGTCAAGCGCCCACTGAGGATCCGTTGGCGACCATCAATGACCACGTGTCGAAGATGCGAGAATGTGAATTCCCGTTTGATTCTTCTGCGAAGGTGCAGAGTGATTTCTTGCAACACCTGCAGCTGCTGCTAAGCATTTGCCGCACAGTCACGCTTCGCTTGGAGGAATTAAAGTCGACTGGCACCTGGGAAAAATTCAATGGAGGTCAACTCAGTTTTCCTGTACGCGAAGATGCCGATAGTAATTCATATCGTGGAGATACCTTCAGTATTTCCGGGTCGATGGAGGCGAAGGGGTTCTTGAGTGCCCTGGGGATGGTTGGTAGTGAACGGAGAGAGTCAGTAGATGCCCAAACAGCCGAGGAACTCGTAGAATTGCTTTTGGCTGAGGACAAACATAGTGTATGCAACATGGAAGCCCGTTATTACTTTGAACGTTTTCTTCAACCCTTCGGAGACCAAGATGTTTTGAAAGCCACCCCCTCCACTGCTGAACACCAAATTCCATACAATGGAAAACCATTTAGAACTGGAGCTCTGGCACAAGCAGCTGCCCAAGTATTCCGTCAGTCTGAAAGCAACTACAGATGGATACACAAACTTCACAAGATAGCAGGTAACTGGACACCCAATGGGTTACTAGAGGCTTCGAGGCAGCAAGAGGAAGAAAATTTGTACAACTTCCAACAGCGGCTGCGCATTAAACGGGGTCAAATGCGTATGCTTCTTAAGAAGGGCATACAATACGGTGATTTGGAAATGATCGCATTATTCCTTCTCTAGTCTACCCGATATTGTTTTGAGTGCTACGGCAGGGGATATCAATTTTACTGTTTGACAATGTCTTGCGTCTGTGGTATATGGGCTAGCGGCTGTTGCAGTCGCAGCCAGAAATATGCCACCTATCTTGGCGATAGCTGGTTTTGCAAAATGTGTGCTTAGCGAAGGGCACGCACCCAACAGGTACTGAGACAGCTGTTGTCTTGTTTGGCTTATGGCAGTTGAGTGTGCCACATAATGGAGAATTCTGTCTCTCAGGAATCTAAACCGAATCCTCTACTGTATCACTTTGCACATCCAGGTCGGTAGTGGTACGTGGTGCGCCGGTGTTTATTTCTGGTGGTTCAGTGGAGGCGGTT